CTGAACCCCTTAAACCCAGTGGTGAAAATGAAGATAAAGATGGTCTACTGACAGATGTTCTTTTGTGTTTTATGAGAATTAATAAAATGTATAAACAGTACAAACAATCAAAAGGTACCTAATAAAGTAAAACGCGCTCCCATCATGTTCCCCAAGGTACAAATGCAAGATATATAATATACTAGTCGGTATCATGTGAACTGGATCCTGTGGTTTAATGAAGTGAATACTGGGCACAGTCCTAAATTAATGGACCTTTGAGATCAGAACTTGTGAATGGCTGGGTATAATTTGAAGATCCTCTCACGATCTATTTGGGAGTGTCCTTCCCTTTTAAATATATAGTGATCACCTGCAGCATATGAAGTCCCAATGGATAACAGATATTCCAAGATGTATGCAAATAGGTCTCCAACAGCCAGAATCTAAATGCAGCCCACAGTATATTTACAAAGATGAATTCTATCAGCCTCACACAAGGCAAAATAAGATTTCCAAGATGGATGGGAAGTTTTCTGTGAAATCCCTTTCATAGCCTTCACAAGAATACTGAATGGGATACCTCCCAATGACTGTAAAGGAGCATGGAAGATTAAACCTTGGAACAGGAGATTGGGTCGATGCGGCAGGGTCCACTGTTCATCCACTGACACAATGTTGGAGTAGCACATTCTTCTGGGCCAGACTGGGTAGAAGCTGTAGCTATGGAGAGGCATAAATGAAGAGCCAATCCAACAGTGTCACCAAAAGCATACACCGCACAAACTAGAAAGGTCCCTGGTCCTGGATACAAATCTGTCCAGCTTCATGCTGAACTTGGGAGGCCAGAAAGTCCACATCCAGAGTTCCCCATCTTTGGCAGAGTTCCTGGAACACCTCTGGCTGAAGAGCCCACTCCCCCAGAATTGTTGAGGACTGAGAAAATCGCCTGCTAGTTTTCCAAGCTGGGAATGTGGAAGGCAGACAGGGCAGGAACATAAAATTTCACCCAAGACAGGATGACATTAGTCTCCTCCTGAGTGGCCTAACTCCTGGAGCCTCTCTGATATGTATATGCCAATAACGCTGTGGAGTTTCTGACTGCAGTCATACAGGAAGGATCTTGAGTTGCACTGACCAATGCAACGGAGCCAGACAAATTGCCCTCAATTCCAGGATGTTGATGGGCAACAACATCTTCTGCAATGACCAGGATCCCTGGACGAAGGGATTGTCCAGAACTCCTTCCAAGCCAACCAGGATTGGGGTCCATCGTCAGAACCCTCCAGTAAAGAGAATCAGAAAATTGTACAGCATGCTTGAAGAAATCCACCTCTCCATAGACAGTCTTGTCTTGGGGTGTAAATGCATCAGGGAGTACAGCGACTGCGTCCTCTTGTCCCAAGAGGAGAAGACATTCAGTTGGAGGAGCCTGGAATGAAACTGGGCAAATGAACTGCGCCAAAAGAGAGGCTACCGTCGTTCTAAGAAGCCTCAAGCAAGGAGAGAGGTTTCTCAAAGTCCAAAGCAGCTTGAGCTCTCAATGCATTTTTCCTGGAGAAGGGTCACTCTTGATCACACGGTGTACAAAATCAGACCTAAATTTTCCAACCGCTGGGTCAGGACTAAGGCTGATTTTAGAATATTCTGGAGCCATCCAAACCTCTCCAGAGTCTGCCCCATTCAATGTATACTGAATTCCAGCCACCAACTGGCCTGCTCCCTCAGAAACAAGTAATCCAGGTAACCTATGACAGTAATACCCTGAGCAATCTGGTGAATATGAGAGAATTGGACAGGCAGAAGGGTAGAGCCACAAACTGAAATTGGCGGTCTTCTGCCACAAAACAAAGCAACTGTTAGCAAGGTTGGAAAATGTGGAAATGAAGAAAAACATCCTTGAGAACAGATATAACAAAATGCATTTACCAGAATAAAAGGGTGCAAACAAGTTCATTGTTAGGGTTTCAAACACTTTGATTAATTCAAGTCTTTACAAGGCATTAAAGTTATTAACCTCACAACAGTAAAACCAGTCTGTATGCACTAAAGCATGCTTGTTATACTCACCGTGGAATTTAAAGGGCTAATAATCTGCATTGTGTAAAAAGGCTGTTTGATCCTCCCCTTCTTTTACTGTCTCCAATCCATCTGCCATAATACAGAGCAGCAGTTGAAAGTCTGCACATGCTCTGTTTGGGGTGTATTGCTAGAGAGCAATTTTTTTTTTGGAGGGTGCACGTGATCGACACAGGGCCAATCAGCACTGTCCAGACAGCAGGTCAGGGATCATACAGCCTCATAGGACAATCAGAGGAGAATGAAAGCTGCTCCTACAAGATTAACCAGTGCTCAGCTGGCCACTGATAGAAGTAACATGGCTGCTATATACTGCTGATGAGAAAAGGTATTTAACCGTTTATATTTACTAAAATAATTGCATATCCATGTTGTGTGTACTGTGGGAGATCAGATATAGTGAATGCAGGGTCCTGGGATTAATAACACTTTAATTTGATACATTGTTTTAAATGGTAAATAAAATATCTGAAAAGTGTGGTGTGCATTTGTATTCAGCCCCCTTTACTCTGATACCCCTGACTAAAATCTAGTGGAACCAATTGCCTTCAGAAGTCACCTAATTAGTAAATAGAGTCCACCGGTGTGTAATTTAATCTCAGTATAAATACAGCTGTTCTGTGAAGCCCTCAGATCCACAGCTCGGGTGAGAGAATCTGTCCACAGGACCACTATCAGCATTGTACTCCACAAATCTGACCTTTATGGAAGAGTGGCAAGAAGAAAGCCATTGTTGAAAGAAAGCCATAAGAAGTCCTGTTTGCAGTTTGCGAGAAGCCATGTGGGGGGCACAGAAAACGTGGAAGAAGGTGCTCTGGTCAGATGAGACCAAAATTGAACTTTTTGGCATAACAGCAAAACGCTATGTGTGGTAGAAAACTAACACTGCACATCATGCTGAACACACCATTCCCACTGTGAAACACGATGGTGGCAGCATCATGTTGTAGGGATGCTTTTCTTCAGCATGGACAGGGAAGCTGGTCAGAGTTGATGGGAAGATGGATGGAGCCAAATACAGGGCAATCTTAGAGGAAAACCTGTTAGTCTGCAAAAGGCTTGAGACTGAGGTTCACCTTCCAGCAGGACAACGACCCGAAACATCCAGCCAGAGCTACAATGGAATGGTTCAGATCAAAGCATATTCATGTGTTAAAATGGCCCAGTCACAGTCCAGACCTAAATCCAATGGAGAATCTGTGGCAAGACTTGAAAATTGCTGTTCACAGACGCTCTCCATCCAATCTGACAGAGCTTGAGCGATTCTGCAAAGAAGAATGGGCAAAAATGTCCCTATCTAGATGTGTAAAGCTGGTAGAGACATCCCCAAAAAGACTTGCAGCGAAAGGGGGAGGTACAGAAATTTAGATGGCCACAACATTTAAAAAACACCCATATGAAAAAAGCACAGATATAGGTGCTGAAAATAACCCACTAGGTAGTTCTCAGCCTTACCTGAGAAACCACCGAACGATCCCGACACTGGGCATAGAGGTAAGTGAAGGAAAGATGGCCTCCACTCATCTCTATGCCCTTGGAGGACCACAGCAAAGTCACTTCCGGTTCCGGCGCCTTATAAACAAGGCCATTTTTTTTTTTTTTTTTTTAAAAAGCAATAGATCAATGCTTTTTTTTTTTATCCAATGCTTTACTGTACATTGTAGAGGAGAGATGTGGGATCTCATTGACCCCATATCTCTCAATAAAGAGGACTTGTCACTAATTATTTCTATCACAAGGGATACATGCATTCCACATATGTAAACGGTGTTCAAACCTCACATGTGCGGTATCACCACGAATGTCAGAGCAAGAGCAATAATTCTAGCACTACACCTCCTCTGTAACTTTACACTGGTAACCTGTAGAAATGTTTAAAGCGTCACTGATGGAGATTTTTAAGTACCGTAGTTTGACGTCATTCCACAAGCGCATGCAATTTTAAAGCATGACATGCTGGGTATCTATTTACTCTGCGTAACATCATCTTTCATATGTTACCAAAAATTTGGGGTATATACTCTATTCTATTTTTTTTTTAATCATTTTTCAAAAAAAAAAAAAAAATTGCGATTGAAAAAATATATTGATTTTTAAAAAAAACTGTCCATTTTGGTTTCGGCATCCTGAATTTTTGGTTTTGGTACCGGAATTTTCATTTTGGTGGTGAGTGTACCCGTTAACACAATTAGCTCTCATACATGATCAGGAACCATGATGAGAGGTTAGTGTGTAACAGGTGACTGTGCAATCTCAGAATTAGGATCATGCACAAATAAGTGCTGCTAGTTCTCAACATGGGGAACTCTGCTTGAGAACATTCTTTTAAATTGTTCTGGGTATAAATGCGGTTAAAAAAAAAACAAAAAAAAACATAACCAGCATATTTAATCTATTGAGTGCATGGTTAATACTATCCAAGAGTGACTGACTGTATCAGATATCCAAAATTTTGCATGACTCAAGACACTTCAGCTCCCCATTCCAGAATTTATGTACACAGAGTCAGCTTGAGTCAACATGCAGACCTCTACCTGAAACCGTCATAAATGTTATGTTCTGTTCTCGCCTCTTCCTCTACATCAGGGGTGTCAAACTGCCACCCTCCAGCTGTTGCGGAACTACAAATCCCATGAGGCATTGCAAGGTTGACAATTACAAGCATGACTCCCAAAGGCAGAGTCATGATGGGACTTGTAGTTCCCTGACAGCTGGAAGGCTGCAGTTTGACACCTGTGCTCTACATCCTCCTGACAGACATTACAACTTACACAGTGTTACATTATTTAAGCTATTTCTTTCTGTTCAGTCCTGCTCAGCTTTCGTATGTGCCGAATTGTTAGCTACATGAGTGTTCTGTAAGGGCAGTTTTCCTTAAAGAGAAGAAAAATAAACAAAAAACAAAATCTTACCACTTGCACAATTTCCGCTTTGCGCTCATTTTCCAGACGGCGTCTCAAATTCTCCTCTCGCCTCTTTCTCTTTTCCTGCACACACAAGAGAAGTGGTCAGCCACCCAAAAACTGAACTCCAGGCAAACTGCTAAAAACATAGGTGAAATACATATATAGGAGCCGTTTACAAAGAACGAACAAAAGAGGGTGCACCAGCTTAGTGCATTTTCCCACAGCATTCACTGAAAATCAACATAAATTATACTCACAAACATGTGAATTAAGATAGCTAATTGAGCTACTCATCCGTAGCCCTCCCTCTGCGGGTCTGATGAAGGAGGTGCATTCAAAACGCTGCAGCCTAGCTGCACTAGGCTGGTGCGCCCTCTTTAGTTAGCTTTTCATAGTGGCTTCAGGACATCCCCAGCTCCCCAGGGACATCCCCAGAAGGCAGCAAGGCATGAAGCAATTTCCCAGTGACGAGTTATCTTCTACACCTGTATTTCTGCCTATCCAGACAAACACGAAAATGTTTCTTGTACGATAACTAGGGATGCACCGAAATTTCGGCCACAGGAAAAATGTAGCCGATACGGGACTGAGAAAGGAAAGAGAGGAGCAGTGTATACAGTGAGGGAGCAGTGTATACAGAGAGGTTCCCTCACTGGCTGTCACTATAGGTCAGTGCCAGTTTTTCAATGCAATTGCTGCTTTTTTTTTTTGTTCACTATAGCTCACAAAATGAGCTGTCACTTTCCCCCAGCTAAAAGAAACAGTGTTTCCTTTTAGTTTCTTTCCGAGATAAAAGAAACAGTTTCCTTTAGCTCCAAAATGACAGCTAATTCTGTGAGTTATAGTGAAGAAAAAAAAAAAAAAAAAAAAAGCCGACAATTGCATTTAAAAAACCGGCACCCACATGTAGTGACAGCCAGTGAGGGAGCCTCTCTGTATACACTGCTCCTCTCCTGTTCCCTCCTTGCACACACTGCCCCCACCCCTTCCCCCTACAAAGAGATCCTGTCGCTCATATGCTATCACATAGGGGACTATTGGTTCCCTATGTAATAGCAATAAAATCATAAGTAAAAAAAAAAATTATACATGAAAGTAGAAAAAAAAAAAAAAATGGAGCCTCACCACCCCTCATGTATGCAGACATTTTGGTTTCGGTTTTCGACCACATGCATTCTGAATTTTTGGTATGGGCACTTGAATTTTCATTTCGGTGCACCACTAATGACAACAGAGCAGACACTTTCCATTTAATCAGTACAGTATACATCCAAAAAAATTTTTTTTTAATTATATAGAGTGACCAAGACTGCGCATGCTCAGAAATGAAAGAATACATAACAATACATTACATCACCATGGGACGTTGTATTCTGTCTTACGAGAAATTTCTTAACTTTAGTAGCCTATTCCTTTTCAACATGAGACTAGCTTGCAAAAAAAAAAAAAAAAGGAAAAATCATTCATCTCCGATATTCTCATTGTGTGTACTAGGCATTACACAGCACAGCCGTGTTTAACAGGGAGAAAGACCATATTTCTCTGCTGCTGTCTCTTCCTGGTTCTTGCAGCCCCCTCCAATGATGTGTATATGGCTACAAATACTATTTAGAGACAGCCAGACCCCCGGTGATATGCGTGGCAGTATCCCAAGAGGTTGTGGATGGCAGGATGTGTCTCACCAGGGCAAGAATGCCAGAAGTGAGAAAGAAGAAGGAAAGCGGGTAAAGAGTGTGAAGGTTCATGGACCAACCTTTTGAATATGAAAAAATAAAGCTGCCATGGCATACCTCTGGAAGGATAACAAGATACCAAGATAAAACGTGAAACTGCTGTCCTTTAATCCTAGAGTCCCCTGAATTTCCTATGCAAACACAACCTAATACAGAATACAACCCCGTTTCCATCTCCCAACACAGACACCCCCCTCACCACACTGCAACGGTGATGTCAACCTATAAGAAGGCAGGACTTTCAAAAAGTCTGTATTTTCATAGAAGACAGAGCTATTCAATGAGCAAAAATACCAAAAATAAAACGTTTTTAACCACTTCAATACTGGGCACTTTTACCCCCTTCCTGCCCAGGCCAATTTTCAGGTTTCAGCGCTTTCACACTTTGAATGAAAATTATGCGGTCATGCAACACTATACCCAAACTAAATTTTTATCATTTTGTTCACACAACTAGAACTTTCTTTTGGTGGTATTTAATCACCACTGGGGTTTTATTTTTTGCTAAATTAACAAAGACCAACAATTTAAAAAAAAACCCAAGTTTTTCTTTGTTTCTGCTATAAAAGTTTGCAAATAAATAATTGTTCTTTATAAATTTAGGTCAAGATGTATTCTGCTACATTTCTTTGGTGAAAATAACCCAAATCAGTATTTATTATTTAGTCTGTAGGAAAGTTATAGAGTTCACAAACTATGGGATATATCTGAAAATTGATCAATCCTGAAGTACTGACAGACAATCTAATTTCTTATGGCCCAAAAATGCCAGAACAGTACAGATATCTCCCAAATGACCCCTTTATGCAAAGTAGACAGTCTAAACGCATTTCATAAGAGGCATGGAGAGTTTTTTGAAGTTGTCATTTTTTTGTCAAAATTTTTTAGAAAATGAAGAAATTCAAAAATTAATTTTCACAATTTTTTCATACATACTGTCACTAGTGCAGTACAGTGTCGTTATATAACTGGTGTGGCGGTAATCAGGAAGACTGACTGGTGACAGTACGAAAAAGAAATATAGATATATTAACATTGTACTACTTTGGGGAAGTAATCAGTATTTTTTTTTTTTCCTACACAAATTTGATTGCTTATAGCAAAGAATTTTTTTGCTATAAGCAAGCATTTAACTGAATGAAATTGATTTGTTCAGGTATTTTTGTTGTGATTAGCTGTGATTGGCCATGGCTAATCACATGACACAGATGGGCTATCATTGGCCCAGCCTGTGCATGTGATCACTGTGACCATTCACAGCTAGACACACTTGTATACATGGATGGCATGAAAGGAAGCCATCCATTGTTGACAACGGTCATGTGACCTGCTGTGATTAGTCACACGGAACTGGCAACGGGGCCGGTACACAGATCCGTCTTCGGCTGTGTCCGAGGTACACAGCCGGTGACAGATCTCGCAACAGCGTGGCCCTGCGGGCACACACAAGGTGCGATCTGGGTATCTCCCGGATATACGAGAGTCCCACCCGGCTGTCATTTTCTTATTGGCCAGGCAGGAAGTGGTTAAAAATCACAAATTATTTAGTGATACATAATTCCTTAAACAAACAAGCAGTTCTACTAACAGATCAGCGGTCATAATTGCATATACGGGACTGCATATAGTCAGTTGGATAGTCATACATCAGACGCATTTTGAGATTAAAACTTTTCTTTAGGGATGCAACAAGTGACTATGAATATATTCTATAACGTAAGAACAACACACATTAACATCTTCATACCGGATTAAGTACACTGAAATTAAGCAATGTTCAAAAACAGCATACTAACCCATAGATTCAAACTTGTTTGATATGACCACATAAGTGTTATAAAATCAAAAATAATGCAAAGGTGCTGAAAGCTGTTATCTCACTTACAGTCAGGTCCATAAATATTGGGACATGGACACAATTCTAACATTTTTGGCTCTATACACCACCACAATGGATTTGAAATGAAACGAACAAGATGTGCTTTAATTGCAGACTGCCAGCTTTATTTTGAGGGTATTTACATCCAAATCAGGTGAACGGTGTAGGAATTACAACAGTTTGGATATGTGCCTCCCACTTGTTAAGGGACCAAAAGTAATGGGACAATTGGCTTCTCAGCTGTTCCATGGCCAGGTGTCTGTTATTCCCTCATTATCCCAAATTACAATGAGCAGATAAAAGGTCCAGAGTTCATTTCAAGTGTGCTATTTGCATATGGAATCTGTTGCTGTCAACTCTCAAGATAAGATCCAAAGAGCTGTTACTATCAGTGAAGCAAGCCATCATTAGGCTGAAAAAAACAAAACAAACCCATCAGAGAGATAGCAAAAACATTAGGCGTGGCCAAAACAACTGTTTGGAACATTCTTAAAAAGAAGGAACGCACCGGTGAGCTCAGCAACACCAAAAGACCCGGAAGACCACGGAAAACAACTGTGGTGGATGACCAAAGAATTCTTTCCCTGGTGAAGAAAACACCCTTCACAACAGTTGGCCAGATCAAGAACACTCTCCAGGAGGTAGGTATATGTGTGTCAAAGTCACCAATCAAGAGAAGACTTCACCAGAGTGAATACAGAGGGTTCACCACAAGATGGAAACCATTGGTGAGCCTCAAAAACAGGAAGGCCAGATTAGAGTTTGCCAAACGACATCTAAAAAAGCCTTCACAGTTCTGGAACAACATCCTATGGACAGATGAGACCGACATCAACTTGTACTAGAGTGATGGGAAGAGAAGAGTATGGAGAAGGAAAGGAACTTCTCATGATCCTAAGCATACCACCATCAGTGAAGCATGGTGGTGGTAGTGTCATGGCGTGGGCATGTATGGCTGCCAATGGAACTGCTTCTCTTGTATTTATTGATGATGTGACTGCTGACAAAAGCAGCCGGATGAATTGTGAAGTGTTTCGGGAATATTATCTGCTCATATTCAGCCAAATGCTTCACAACTCATTGGACGCTGCTTCACAGTGCAGGTGGACAATGACCCAAAGCAGACTGCAAAAGCAACCAAAGAGTTTTTTAAGGGAAAGAAGTGGAATGTTCTGCAATGGCCAAGTCAATCACCTGACCTGAATCCGATTGAGCATGCATTTCACTTGCTGAAGACAAAACTGAAGGGAAAATGCCCCAAGAACAAGCAGGAACTGAAGACAGTTGCAGTAGAGGCCTGGCAGAGTATCACCAGGGATGAAACCCAGCGTCTGGTGATGTCTATGCGTTCCACACTTCAGGCTGTCATTGACTGCAAAGGATTTGCAACCAAGTATTAAAAAGTCAAAAGTTTGATTTATGATTATTATTCTGTCCCATTACTTTTGGTCCCTTAACAAGTGGGACGCACATATGCAAACTGTTGTAATTCCTACACCGTTCACCTGATTTGGATGTAAATACCCTTAAATTAAAGCTGACAGTCTGCGGTTAAAGCACATCTTGTTTGTTTCATTTCAAATCCATTGTGGTGGTGTATAGAGCCAAAAATGTTAGAATTGTGTAGATGTCCCAATATTTATGGACCTGACTGTATGTGGTCATATCAAACAAGCTTGAATCTACGGGTTAGTATGCTGTTTTTGAACATTAATACTTAATCCAGTATGAAGATGTAAATGTGCATTCATAGTCATTTGTTGCATCCCTGAAGAAGAGAAGTCTTAATCTCGAAACAGGTTGGATGTATGACTATCAGATTGACTATAATGCAATACCCATATATGTAATTTTATGCAATTATGACCGCTGATCTGTCAGTAGAATTGATTTTTTAATGAATTATGTATCAATAAATCATTTGTGATTTTAAAAACTTTGTTTTTGGTAATTTGGCTCAATGATTAGTGCTGCCCTTTAAAGTCCCACTTCCAAAGGGAAACATTTTGGTTTTTGCTTTTCTGTATCACTCTGAGGGATGATGACGGCCTCTAATTCCCACCACCCCAATACTCCAGTATTTTCATAGAAAGTTTTGAGCAAGCCTTTCATACATTAGCCCCTAAACCAGTTTTCCTGGAAAATGTATTTATCAGAGGGGACCGACTCACTTCTTTTTCTCGTTGTTTTTCATCTTTTATCTGTTGAGCTAAACCTTTGACCAATTTTTTTTCCTGACGCCCTTTCATTTTCATCTCCCAGGATGTGCGGAGTGGACGGTCTTTTACCATGTCAGAGAACCTAGGTAAAAACAAAGAAATGCTTTTAAACAAACAGAAATAATGGAATTGCTTCAGGATAAATCTGAGGTTTAGTATTTTTTTGGAAGAGTGTTGGAGTATAGAGTACCAACACATACGTTTGGTAATTTTGTGTATCCTGTTACCTTAGGCTGCTGCTTCTTCTAAAGTCTTCCCTTCAGTGCTTCCATCATAGTTACCAGATATTGCCCTGATTGGCTACATTCTGCCACAGCGAGGGTTAACAACCGCAGCAGTTGTGCTGCACACGCATCCTCTCCACCATTCACAAAACTTGTATTACAATTCTCCCACAATGCAATGTGTTTTGTGAATGGGTGGTGGAGGTCCTGTCATTCACATACAACTCCTCTATTCACATAATGCAATGCATTGTGGCAGAAAAGTAATACGAGTTTTGTGAATGGTGGAGAGAAAAAGCGCTGAGCGAGTGGCACAACTTTTAAGACTAGCAGTGATCATTGCTATAATCAGGGCCGTATTCAGCAGCTTTGATGGAGGCACTGAAGGGAAGATTTTAACAAGAAGCAGCTACTTGCAGGTTATGAGATACGCACATAACTAATGTGTTTGGTGTTGTATCCCAAAGTAAAATAAATAAATAAAAACGTTTCAAACCGTTTTAAAAGTAGTTAATTAGCTACATCCTTACCTATGCCATACAATGGGGCTAAATTCAATGGGAAAAAAGCAACCCATGACAATACTGAAATTATCCTAAAGCAGAGCTCTACCCAAAAGGGGAAGTTCTGCTTTAAGCCTTTCTCCCCCCGCTCCCCATCAAGGATGGCACCTTTGGGGAGCGGGTACCCGAATTTGACAGGTACCAGCTCCCACTTCCGCTGTGATCACCTAGGCCGGGTGTCGGCAACCCGCGGCTCCAGAGCCGCATGCGGCTCTTTTTCACCTTTGCTGCGGCTCCGGAGCACACTGCCCACCAGGTGACAGGCAATAGGGTTGCCGTAGCTCAGTGGTCGGCAAGCCGCGGCTCTTTACACATTTTAATGCGGCTCTTCTGTGTGCCGGGCGTCCCGCTCCCCTCCCTCCTCTCGGGCGGCCGCCCCAAAAGTCAGGACTCTGCAGCTAGCCCAGCAATGGGCAAACTACGGCCCGGCGGACCTTTTAATCCGGCCCGCGGAGCGTGGCAAACATTGACTGTCAGGATGTAGGCGGGGCAGCGAGACGAACTCCTCTCCTCTCACAAATCCGCCCTGAAGACCGGAACAGCGCTGGAACACGGCGAGAGGAACGCGCGGAGCAAAGGTAAGTGAATTGACACAATATGGGGAATGAATTACTATGTGGGGGATGAATTACTATAGGGGATGAATTACTATATGGGGGATGAATTACTATATGGGGGATGAATTACTATATGGGGGATGAATTACTATATGGGGGATGTATTTTCAGTTTTAAAAATGTGTCTCTCAAAATAAATTTCAATTGTGGTTTTGGCGAGATTTGGCTCAGTTGAAAAAAAAAGGTTGCCCACCACTGACCTAAGGCTATGATTGTGATTATGATGATACACTGTGGCCCTGATTAACCCTTTGCTTACTGGGCCCTTAAACCCCCTTCATGACCAGAGCGCTTTTTGCAATATATGCAGTGTCGGATTTGTTTTAAATGTTGCAATGGTTTTGCGGCTCCCAGTCTTTTTTTCCCTTCGGAAACGGGTCCAAGTGGCTCTTTATGTCTTAAAGGTTGCAGACCCCTGACCTAGGCGATCGGAAGCAGAAGTTGTCCTCCCTCCCTGCAGTCTTCTGGGACACGTGACAGGTCCCAGAAGACTACGGGCCATTCACAATGCGCAGTGCTTCTCCCGCATGTGCAGTGGGCACCCGGCTGTGAAGCTGCAAGCTGTCACAGCCGGGTGCCCTCACTGAAGATGCCAGAAACACAGAGAAAACATGGCCGGTGAACTCAGCCATGGTGAGGACACTGCTGGACCGAGGGACAGGTATGTAGCTGTATTTTAAAAGTCAGCAGCTACAGTTTTTGTAGCTGCTGACTTTTTTTTTTTTCTTCTTCAGGTGGAACTCCACTTTAAGAAGATCCACTTGATTTACCTTACAGATTTACACTCACCGGCCACTTTGTTAGGTACACCTGTTCAATTGCTTGGTAACACAAATTGCTAATCGGCCAATCACATAGCAGCAACTCAATGCATTTAGGCATCTAGATGTGGTGAAGACGACTTGCTGAAGTTCAAACTGAGCATCAGAATGAAAAAGAAAGGGGATTTAAGTGACTCTGAACATGGCAGAATGGTTAGTGCCAGACGGGCTGGTCTGAGTATTTCACAAACTGGTGATTTACTGGGATTTTCAAGCACAACCATCTCTAGGGTTCACAGAAAATGGTCCGAAAAAGAGAAAATATCCAGTGAGCAGCAATTATGTGGACGAAAATGCCTTGTTGATGTCAGAGGAGAATGGACAGACTGGTTCAAGATGATAAAGGCAAAAGTGGCTCAAATACACACTCCTTACAACCAAGGTATGCAGAATACCATCTCTGAACGCACAAGTCAAACCTTGAAGCAGATGGGCTACAGCAGCAGACTGGGTGCCACTCCTGTCAGCTAAAGACAGGAAACGGAGGCTACAATTTGCACAGGCTAACCAAAATTGGACAACGGAAGATTGGAAAAATGTTGCTTGGTCTGATGAATCTCAATTTCAGCTCCAACATTCAGATGGTAGGGTCAGAATTTGGTGTAAACAACATGAAAGCATGGATCCATTCTGCCTTGTATCAACAGTTCATGGATGTGCAGCCAACAAATCTGCAGCAACTGCGTGATGCTATCATATAATTATGGAACCAAATCTCTGAGGCAGGTTTTCAACACCTTGTTGAATCTATGCCACCAGGAATTGAGGTAGTTCTGAGGGCAAAAGGGGGTCCAACCCGGTACTAGCAAGATGTTCCATCCTCTGCACAAAGTCCTGCAGATCTCCTACAACTCCTGTCTAAAAGAGCTCGCCCCAACATCCACTGCAAATCATTAATCTGGATTGGCTTCCTTATAGTGACAATGGTGGAAGATGCCTGTGCAGTGTGTGTCAGTACTTCTGCTTGTAGCTCCCACCAGGGTGACAACAACAGAAAGAAGGTGACATCATTCTGCCTAGTCTAACAGGAAGTGCCTGAAAAGCGACCTTCATAAGAGGATAACTGAGTATTTTATTGAAAGCTGCAGATTTAAAGATGAATTCCAGGAATGGGATTACTTTAACCACTTGCTGCCCACCTACAGTACACCTACTGCAGGCAGATGGCAGCTACAATCTAGGCAACATATCCCTATATTGCTGCCTGTTTACGGGTTTTTGGACACGTACACGTGCCCCCTGCTAACCTGTGCTATGATTGGACACAAAACTTTGTCAGCAGGTTTCAGCCAATGATTTTGGATGTATACCTGTTGATCAGCTGTGGCCACTCATAGCACAGAGTTCTGTGTTTACAAACACACAGGACCCTGTACACAGACAGCGATCTGTTTCTTCTCCCTGAAATCAAATCTGAGTTCAGGGAGAAAAAGCAGCCGGAACTGCGAATAAAATCAGCACACATTACATTTGTTAGGAAAACAGTTAATCCCTTGATGTTAACCCCTTCCCAGCCAGTGCCATTATTGCAGTGACAGTGTATAGTATTACATCTGATCACTCTATTGGTGTCACTATTAGTATTAGACTAATAGAGTCAGTTAATGTCCCTACCAGCGAGGGTCTGTTAGCACCAGATTGCTCACCACACTATTACAGTTACATTCTAAGTTGCTGATCACTGCCATTACTAGTACAGCATCTATAGCTGCGAAAATTCCATTATATACACCATAGTCTGTAGACGCTGAAACGTTCGCACGAACCAATTAATATACACTTACTGGGAAGAAATGTAGCAGAATACATTTTGTCCTAAATTTATGAAGAAATCAGATTTTATTAGATAGGTTTTAACAGACAGTAGAAAATATACTTTTTTTTTCCAAAATGTTCAGTCTTTTTTCTTTTATATAATAGAAAACCCAGTGGTGATCAAATCCCGCAAAAATTGTGCATACCTGGGGAATTGAAAAAAAAAAAAACAAAACAAAAAAAAAAACCCCACTGTGGTACCCCATTGAAAACTACAAGTCGACAGCCGCTAAGGCTGCCAGGACTTGTAGGTACTTTCACAGAACTCTGTAAAGGAGTGATGCGACCGTGTGGGCGGAGCCCCACATGGCCATGCTGTTTTCAAATCTGACAGACAGTACGGAGAAATACAAGGGAGGGGGGGCGGCTGACGCTGCTCCAGCTATGGGAACATGTTACACCCTAAAAATGGATGGAACATGTAACATGTTCCCAAAGGTGAACTTGTCCTATAAACTTTTTTTTTTTACAATTTTTATTTATTACAATACTTTTTAATTGCTATTCTATACTTTTTTATCCACTTATTTTATTGTTGTGACAAGTAGACCAAGCAGCCCCCCATGTGATAGCAAGTGATAGGTAATTTTTGTGGAAACATTGGGGTTCTATTAGACCCCCAATTTTTTCCCGCTCTCCAATGCAACCACAGATCGTGTTTGAATAGCACACCAGATGGTAATGACAGCTGTGACCCTGGAAGTGATGTAATACACGATGCTACCAGGGTCATTCATCACAGGAGGGATTGGGGAACTGATGTTCCCTGAGTTCCTCCTGCTTTCACTGAGGAAGCAGTTTCCTGTAGCCCCTGTGAAATGAGAGAGCCAAAGAACCACCATGTGTGACAAGGGGGTAGGGAGCCCCTTACAAGTGATTGGGCAGCTCTAGCTCAAGACCGAGAAGCCGGCCGCCCGAAGATGGAAGCGGCTCACGGTGAGATTCAGGGACAGCACATCACTGGATTCTCGGCGACTAGAGTTCCGCTTTAAAGCAGGAGCTGCGAGTTTGAGTTAACCACTTGTCTACCAATGACATTTATAAACATACTCGGTAGGTAAATGGTTAAACTGATCTCACTGCTGGAGTTGTTTAAAGCTGAACTCTGGGCTGGAACATAACATGCCCCTGCAGTGGGCCTTCCATGACATGGATATATCTGTATGACATGGACACTTCTTATTGGGTGTCTGGGGGAAGGTCCTCTCAGGATCCAGAATAGGACGTCATCACAGGAGGATGGTAGGGGACCAGCCATTTCAAACTCTACTGCCCTGCTGGATTTGTGGTCCCCTGCACCTGAAACTGGTTAAGGATCTGGAGAGAAGGGGTGGGGCATATTGGGATGGGTTGGACAACCTTTCAGAGGCTGAGATCAACCTGGACAACATGGAGGAAAGCAAAGATTCCCAGGGAACTATCAAGCTCCCAATAAAAAGACTAAATGGAGAACACATAGTGTGTCACTGTAGTGTCCTCTGCCATCACCCCCCCCCCCCCCCCCCCCCCACTGTAGTGTCCTCTGCCATCACCCCCTGCCAGCGTGTGTACAGCAGAGCGGCGATCAGGAGACGGCAAGGTGATGGGTGGAAGGCAGGAGTGGGAGCAGCTGAAGTTCAAAATAACAAGATGGTAATTGGTTGCTAGGATCTCCTAGCAACCAATCACTGAAGCAGCTCCCACTCCCGCTCTCTAGTTAACATGACAGCGGCGTTGGCAGAGCCGTGGTCACGATCCTGCTGGTGGCTCCCTGTGGGCAACCGTTTGCTGACCCTCTCCCCGGGTTAGAGATAGGTAGGAGGGGTGGGAAATATTCGTTCTATCTCAGAGTGGGACTCTGCTGCTCACCGCTTTTTGTTCTCCTTCCACACACGTCCAGATTTCGGTTTACCCCGGGGGATGTTGGTAGCGATACTCTTCTTCATGGGGCAGACCTTCTCCTTGACCTGCGCAGTCTGCTCCTGGACTGGTCTCTCTGCCTTCCTCTCACCCACGGAGGGGATGGTGTGACAAGAGGACACCCCCTCCTGGTCATCACTCCCTTCCATCTTCTCCACTTCTAGTGTCTCCTCCAACTTGTCTCCATCAGGATTCCCATTCACCTCTTCCTCCATCTGCTCTACATTCTCCACTGTGTCCTTCTCCACTCCCCCCACAGACTCTTCTCCCATCTTCTCCACCTTGTCCTTCCCTTCAATCCCCTCCTGAGACCCTTCCTCCCCTTTTACCTCCTCTTGAGACCCTTCCTCCCCTTCTACCCCCTCCTGAGACCCTTCCTTCCCCTCCTTCCCTTCTACCCCCTCCTGAGACCCTTCCACCCCCTCCTGAGAGCCTTCCTTCCCTTCTATTCTCTCCTGAGACCCTTCCTCCCCTTCTATCCTCTCCCGAGACGCTTCCTCTCCTCCCACCCTCTTGCCCTCCACCTCAGCCCGGCTCTGTTCTTCTCCTTTGTCTCCATCCTCCTGAGTTCCTCTCCTCTTACTTCTCCTCAGAGGAGTAGCTCTGACTTTACACGTCCCTTCCATGGCATTCAACACTTTTCCGCTGACTTTGGTCCCTCTGCGCTCGCCGTAGACTACAGCAGCTACACGTGGTTAGTTGACATGCGCCTCCAGGGGCGCCAGGAGATGACGAAGACACGTAAGAACGTCTCAGTGCGTCGTCTCCTAGGAAACGGGGGACGCTTTCTGAGCTCCTTATTGGAATACCCGGACGTCGCTTTATTAGAAGTTTCCCATTTGCTTACCGGGGTCCCAGCTTTGCAAGAGGAATAGAAAGATTAATAGGATTCATATATATCTATATATATAGATTGTGTGTGTGTACACACACTATTACCAAAATCCCTCCAAATCATGTGATTCAGGTGTTCCAATCCCCTCCATGGCCACAGGTGTATAAAATCAAGCCCCAAGGCATGCAGACTGCTTCTACAAACATTTGTGAAAGAATGGGTCGCTCTCAGGAGCTCAGTGACTCCAAGCATGTTCCCGTGATAGGTTGTCACCTGTGCAATAAGTCCATCCGTGACATTTTCTGGCTACTAAATATTATTATTATTATACAGTATTTATAAAGTGCCAATAGTTCGCTCAGCGCTGTACATTACAATGGGAGACAGTACATGCGACAGTACAAAACAATACAATGTGATGTGAGGGGTCAGAGGGCCCTGCTCCTTGGAGCTTACAATCTAGGAGGGAGGGGATGGTGGCACAGGAGGAGAAAATGGCTGTGGGGGATGGAGTGGTAGGAAGAGTGGAGGAGGTCGGCAATTAGCAGGGGGTGGGGTAGGCTTCCTTGAAGAGGTGGGTTTTCAGGGTGCGCCTAAAGGAGAGGAGAGTAGGTGATAGTCTGATGGATTGGGGTAGGGAGTTCCAGAGGATGGGTGACGCCCTGGAGAAGTCCTGGAGGCGGGCATGGGAGGAGGAGACCAGGGAACTAGAGAGAAGGAGGTCTTGTGAGGAGCGGAGTGTGCCTGTTGGGTGGTATTTGGATATTAGGTCGGTGATGTAGTTTGTTGGCAGTATGATGGACAGCTTTGTACGTCAGTGTTAGCAGTTTGAATTTGATCCATTGCACAATCGGAAGCCAGTGGAGGGATTGTCAGAGGGGGGTGGCGTAAACGGAGTGGTTGGAAAGGTGAATAAGTCTGGCAGCCGTATTCAGGATCGACTGAAGCGGGGATAGCCAGCGGCGAGGCAGGCCAGTAAGGAGGGAGTTGCAGTAATCGAGTCGTGATATGATGAGGGAGTTATGTTGTGTGTATAGTATAGTTCCTGGAATCCATCTTCCCTTAGCTCATGTATGCAGGCAAGAGGATGTGCTTAGCTGAGAAAACCCCACCTCCCCTCCTAAAGACTCCTGGGATGTATGACATCATTTGCCTCACCTTACTCCTCACCTCACCCCTTCAGTGTCCTCTCGCATTACTAACCTACTAAGTGACATATCGGCATGGATGTCACTCCACTTCCTCAAACTCAACCTTTATAAAACTGAGCTCTTAGTATTTCCTCCAGCCCGCGCCCCCTCCCCTGACTTCTCCATCAAGATCAATAACACAATCATCAGTCCCTCCCCTCATGCCAGGATACTAGGTGTAATCCTAGACTCCCATCTGTCCTTCCAGCCCCAAATTGAATCACTGTCCAAATCTTGTAGACTTCACCTCCGCAACATCTCCAAGATACGCCCATTCTTAACCACGGAAACCACTAAGAAACTTATTCACTCCCATGTTATATCTCGCCTTGAGTATTGTAACTCCCTCCTCACTGGCCGACCTCATCACAGGTTATCCTCTCTTCAGTATATCATGAATGCTGCTGCCAGACTCATTCACCTTACTAACCGTTCTGTATAAGCCACCCCTCTCTGCCAATCCCTCCACTGACCTCCACTCAGTGTCCTCCACCCCTCTCTGCCAATCCCTCCACTGGCTTCCCATTGCCCAACGGATAAAATTCAAAACATTAACAATAACATATAAAGCCATTTACAATTCTGCCCCAAATTACATCACCGATCTTGTCTCCAAATATCACCCAAACCGTCCTCTCCGCTCCTTGCAAGACCTCCTGCTCTCTAGCTCCCTTATCTCCTCCTCAAACTATCACAAACTATCCGACTATTGCCTACTCTGCTCACTTTTAGGTGATCTCTGAAAACCTCTCTCTTCAGGGAAGCCTATCCTGCCCTCAGCTAATAATCGAATCTTCTCTTCCTCCTACCAGTCCATCCCCCACAGTTATTACCTTTTGTACCACTAGCCCCTCCCTCCTAGATTGTAAGCTCCAAGGATCAGGCCCTCCTAACCCTCTTGTATTGAACTGTATCGTTGCTGTATTGTCTCCCTTTATATTGTAAAGCACTGAGCAAACTGTTGGCGCTATGTGATTCCTGTATAATAATAATAATAGCCCAACCCCCAGATGATATGATCCAAAAATGGGCATGTTCCGTGGACAGAGTGACAGCTGATTTAAGTTACCTAGGAGCTGGTCATAGAGTAACCAAGCAAAAGTTCCAAAGTTACCAAACCACGGTGAGATGTAACACTGAAATACATGTTCCCAAGTAAGCTCCCTCTCAGTAACCACTCGTCCCATGTTCCACCAAAGGGAGAACATGGTCCCAAAAGAGCGATGTGGCAGGACCATGGGCTTTCAAAGCGACTCCTAGTAAAGTTAGCGGGTATTCCTACTGGCCCTAGCCACTAATAGTTCCACAAGAATGTGGCTAGAACCTGGTGAAGGGCTGATAGAGTGCCAAGGCTAGATGGAAGTTTGGATGGGCATAAAAGTCAACCAGTGACCAGCTGCTTCTAGATAACCTAAAAACACAATAAAACAAAGTTCTGAGGGAAATGATTCTCTTGCAGCCCTAAGTCCGTGACAGTATTACTCTTAGACTGGGAAAAAACCTCCTCCAGGGAGCAGGAGAGCAATAGTGAGTATGATTAGATGGCTACTGTTTTTCATTTTATATCATTATTGTAATATATCCTAAACCAACATATCAAAGTAGATGTACATCCCACTAGAAAATAAAATACTCCATGGGCATCTATCAAGCATTCTTAAATCGTTTTCATCTCTTCATAAACACAACAAAAACATGTCATAAACACATCATAAATATTATATGGGCATGAATGAGCATTGGTTCGTTCTTCATAATCAACACATGTGAACAAGCCCTAAAGCAGTGTTTTTTTTTTATAGTAGAGAACAAGATTCAATTACAAGGAATTTTTTTTATTACTTTTAGCCAAAAAGTCATTGTGGGGGTTATTTATTCAAACTAGAGTGCAAAATCTGGTGCAGCTTCAATAGAAACCAGTCAGCTTCCAGGTTTTATTGCCAAAGCGTAAAGCGATACTAAAGGCTCCTCCTCTTCTTGGGTCCCCTGCAGTCTCTCCTGACCCCTCCCTCTTGTCGGGTGCCCCCATAGAAAGCAGCTTGCTATAGAGGCACCCACTGCTCCGTGTGTCCATTCACTTAGCTCGGCCCCGCCCCACCCTCTCTCTTCTCATTGTTTCACTGGCTGTAATTGAGAGCAGCGGTAACCAATGGCTCTCAGCCAATAAGGAGAGGGAGTCGCAGGATAGCCGAGCCGAGCTCCAGTGCACATCGCTGGATTGGGAGGGGGCTTAAGTAAGAATGGGGGGGGGGGGGGGGCACTGCTGCAGAGAAAGTTTTTTACCTTTATGCATAGAATGTAGAAGCCTTTACAACCACTTTAATTGAACAAGCTGAGTTAAATGCTGATTGGCCAGCATGCACAGCTGCACCAGATTGCATTGTGTAGTAACTTATTTCAAATTAACCTGTGATCAGCCTCTGTTAGTACCTACACACTTTGGCTTTTTAACTAGTTCTGTTGACGAACTAGCACTGTATCAAATCATAGTGGGAGTAAGCGGATGGGGGAACGCACTCAAAACCCAGAAACAGTCAGCAACGTACCAGTATGTCACTGTGCCTATACCTGCTGCACCACCGCAGTATGTATTCTTTGGCGGGTCGGCAAGCAGTTAACTGCTTTAGCTCCGCCCCATAGCAGAAATACCGCTAGAGTGTGGCAGCTGTGCACAAATCCACGTATATATACGTTATTTTGTATTTCTGGGTAGGGGGCGTGCATGCTCCCTACCTGTGTTGCCATTCGCGGCCGCTCTGTCAATCACTGGGTCCCGGCCGGTGATTACTTGCTGGTACCCGGTGATTGCCGAGGATCTCTGACAGAGGGGAGAACTGTTAGTAAACAAAACAGTTCACACTGTTAGCTCCTGCACACTGCTTTGCATGGCTGTGCACAGCCATGCAAAGCAGTGTGCTTACAGTGAAGCACAAACACAGAACATGATGTAAAATGGTACATAGTTAACCCTTTGATCACCCCACATGTTAACCCCTTCAAGCCCAGTGCCATTAGTACAGTGTCAGTACTTTTTATTAGCACTGATCACTGTATTGGTGTCACTTGGGATGTCAGTGACACCAAGTCAGTTCCTCCCAGTGTCAGAATGCCCGCCGCAGTCCTGATCCTAAGTCGCTGATCACCGCCAGTACTAGTACTAGTAAAAATAAAGAAATCCCAGTATATATACCGCCATTTGTAAGCGCTATAACTTTCACGTAAACCAATTCATTTACACATATTGGGATTTTTTTTGTAGCAAAGACATGTCGCAGAATACATTTTGGCCTAAATTGATGATGAA